TCAAGATAGGAAAGTGCAGACACCCTTGCACTTTCACCCCTTCGTTCGACGTCGACCTCGTGCCCACGTTCCATCGCCGCGAGCGACATGCCACGGCCTTAGGCGACGACGCCTGGCCAGGCGACGAGAGTGGGTTGAGCCAAACACTCCGCGGCCGAGAGCCGATGTTCTTTTTAAGCCTTTTGAGTTTGTTTCCTCTGACGGCTGGCGGGTTTTAGCTTGTTTTTAGCCGGTATTTTAGCACTGCTGGCTTGTTTCCTGGCTGCTCAGTACCCTTTTGAGCTTTTTGGATCAGCAACTGCTGGCCAAGATGGACTTGCGTTGATGGTGTTTTGATGTTTTTTGGTTTATATAAACAGGCGTCCATCAAAATGCATGCACGGCAGTAGGTTCATTTTCGCTCAAATCCCCACTGACCGATGGTAAAGGTCTTCCACTCATTGGCTTGGCCACCATGGGCCAGGACTTCGAAGAACGGGCCGCCGGACCCAGCGCCGAGACATCCAGCACGCAAGACTCACCCGTTGTTCGAGGAGGCCCAGGTTCAACCTACGAACGGATTCAAGGCATCAGTTCACAAGAGTGCCATGTTAATGTCAATTCAGAAGATGACCGTGAGTTGTAGCCGCCGTCGCATTTCTTCCACTATCTCCAAGACTTCGTATATATGTCCTGGAAATCTGATTGGTACGCCCACCCTGTGACGGCAGAATTCCATTTGTATATCCCCATAACGCCGCGATACGCCGCATTCCATGTTCACGCTGTGCTGGAATGCTGATGGAATGACCTCCGTGTGTCCTTCCCTTGGCTTTAAAACCAGGCTTACCGAGGACCGACTTGTCGGTGCCGTGACGGGTGTCGTCGGTGTCGGTTTCCCATGCCAACAGCGGTGGTACGTTCGCGCACAGAGAGTGCGGCCAGTTATTAACAGTCTATGACATGGGCACCATCCAGTTTTGAGTTCAATCCATCTTAATCCCTTCTTCCTGGTTCAGGAGAAGAAAGATCCAGTGTCAGGTTCCTGCCATACATCAACCGTTCCACCCACACCCACACCCACACAGATCGTCGCTCCTGAGCCCCGCTCCCAGGTTCGGCTACTGACGGAGGACCGCGTGGAAGGGCCCAGCTTCGAGCAGCTCTGGGTCCGGGGCCCCGAGTCGTGGCGAAAGTGATATCCGATCCCCAAACTGTCGCAGTTTATGGTGTCTGTCTTGAAACTTTCAACCACTCCGTTTCAGTGATATATATACTACTGTATACACACAGCAAAAAACAGTTAGGTTATTTGGTTGTTCTTGTTCTTTGGCCGTTTCTCCAGTTCACCAATTCCGCGCCGCTGTTTGATCCGGCCCGGATCCGGATCACCCGAGTGCTCGATCCGCGGCCGATCCGGTGTGGAGTCAACGCCAGGGGTTTGGCACTGAGCTCCCTCCGAACCTTTTGGCCCTGTGGAGTGGGTGACAGCATGTGACAGAAATGTGAGACCTACTTTCACCCATGAAGCCCTTGATTCTTCCTGCCTTTAACTGGGCATACAATTGGCGAGTACCATCGGTAAAGTCAAGCGAAGCAAGTGTCTTCGCTTCCCGCGGTTGGAGGTTGCTGTTTCGCTTTGCAAAATTTGCGTGTTTGTTTTTCTTCAATATATTTTTCTTAGCATTGGTTTCACCAGAACCGCTTGGAATCTGACATGGCAAAAGCAGCAATCCCATCATAAACTGGTTCCATCGCGTTATATATATAGTTTTGCCTGCAACATCATACAAGTCCAGACCGGAGGACGAAGGGTTTCCTCTACGGAACCTGTTTGGGCCGAAAGCCTCCCCGGTCGACGACGGGTGTTGCTGGAGGAGGGTATGAAGCCGGTGCGGGAGCCCGGTGCGGGTGAAGCCGGGCCCGATGATTCGAGTGAATGATGCGACGACCAAAAAGATTCAACAAGAATGAAACCATCGACCACTGTTTCTAGTAGCTTCTTGTTACTACTAGTAAGGCACTTGCTCCTAGAAGCGATGCACTTGTTCCTCGCGAACATTGTTTCTAATTTACACTACAGTAGAGACACACTAGAGACTCCACTACAAAACCACCTCATGCCGCATGCCTAAGCCGTATCCACAACTCTACAAAATTACAGCTTCTGCTGCTGCTGCTGCTGGTACTGCTGCTGCTGCTGCTGCTGCACAGCCACCGAGCAATGCTACACCAATTCAATCTTGAGGGATCAGATCCAGCAGTTTAAGATAGAGAACACCATCATGGTATTTTGTGCGGTGTCATCAGTGGTACTTCAACCAACTCTCAGCTTTCCCCGAGGTGCTACCCGCGATCTCAGGGAAGATGCATGCACTCCGTTTGTCCGTGTGCCCAAGCGTGGTCCGGATGGTCTGGATGTGGGAGGGATGCTGAGAAACGTCGAGCTGGGACTGTTCTTTGACAGATTGACGTCATTAATGGCATGGGACTTTAAGACTTAATCAACCTCCCATGACGCATACCAGTGAATGTCAAGGAGAGATCCGTGGATGCTTCACTTTTTGGTCGTAGATGACTTATATATACAAGACTGTCGCAAGGTCACCAAAGTTGCGGTTTATCGCCCGAGATGACTTGCTGCCAGCAAGTGACCGGGCCGCCCTTGCCTTCGACTAAAATGAACTTAACACGCCTTTTGGAGCTTGTAGTCCACTACATGGGCCTACACGAGGCTTGAGAGTTCTCCTTCAGCACCTTGCATGCCCAAACCGGTGGAACATGTATTTGTTACATTTTTGCTGGTGTGACTGGTTCGGGCAGTGCGGTTCCAACATGTTCGAACGTCCATACCCAAAGCTCATTTATTACCTACCTTAAGAAACATTGGCAGTGAGTGGAACATGTCTATCTTTGGGATCCCACTAGAGTCACTAGAAGACTGACAATGGTTGATAATCAGGGTCATGTGGCCAAACCAAGTAGCTAGAAGCTACTAGTAACAAGGGCATCTTACTAGGAGCAAGGACGCTACTAGTAGCTCCTGCGCCATCGCAAGTAGGTTGGAGGCCATCGCTACTAGTAACAAGAAGCTACTGGTAACCGGATGGCTTTTTACGGCCCTTACGGCTCTTCGGTCGTCTGAGGCCATTCCTCTTCGAGCGTCTGGGGCATTCGGAGCGGGGCGGGAGTTCAGCGGGCGGAGACCGAGTTCGCCCGTGAAGCAAGTTTCACGGCGGAGGCCATCGCTATCAGGGTGGAGGCCATTCCTATTAGGTTCCTGTTCCCACTGGGAAGAAGAAGCTACTAGCACGGGAAATGCAACAGGTGTAAAAAAAATGTTCAAAAGGACATCAGCCGAGCTCCAGTGCAGCACGTGGTGGTTACGGCGTTTTTGAGCGGCCCCCAGAGGGTTTGGACATGTTTTTTTGCCCGGTCATGGACGACCGGTTCCAGGAATTGGCACATGAAGCCCCGAAGCCCTGTCAGTACGGCCGTGGTTTGAACGTCTCATTGGTTGGAACGGATTGTCCAAGCAGCTGACGTGTATGACAGACAACCACGAAACATCGAATTAAACACTTCCAGGACCTTCACAGTGACCTTTTGATATGCCAGGATGAGGTCACTTGGGGCACCTATTTCTAACCAGGTTCGGAATTTGCTGGTTCAGCCACAGTAGGGCACATAGAGCATGACAACCTCAAAAGCACATTTTCACATTCACCCATAAACTGGCTCCGCCTGAAACCACAGCGAAATCTGGTGAGTCACTGGTGCTCAGTCTGGGGAAGAGGGAATGAGCTCCAAACATATTCCTTCATTTCTTCATGCCTTTCGGGGTGGTCGGAGCCAGTCAGAACCACGTTGAGCCAGCCAGCCGGGCTGGCGGATCCCCATCCTCTCCCCACTTCGGTTTCCTCGCAGGAGCTGTTGGTGACCTTGGAGGTCTCTGCCTCAAAGCGGGATCGGGACCGAGTACCAGGCCCGGTTTACCTCTCCGTCGTCCTTCGTCGTTCGTACTTTCGCAGCGACCCGGCGAGACAACTCGACTCCCGTTCGTGCGGAGGTGAACGTGGTAACTCGACTCCGAGTTTCCGACCAAGCCACGGATTTGGGTCATTATTTTGTCCTACCCCCCTTGGACCAGTTGCAAGCAAGTTTGCAAGCATTAGTGTGTGAGTTGGTTCTGGCTATGGGTCACAGTCCGGGGACCTGGGTTGACCATAGGAAATGAACAGAATAGGGTCAACCTGCCAGGTTTTAGGGCTCCGGATTGATCCGCAGCCCTATAGGTATGTCTTGGCTGACCCTCTGATCTTTGTACTTTGGAGCCAGAGGGATATGGAAGGTCGGACATCCTTCCGCGACTCTCGGATCGGTAGGTTGACTTTGATGCGAGGGTGCTCGGATTGGCGTCTGGAATACCCTTGAGGGAAATTGTTGTGACACAGCACACCCATGCCGGAGCGGTTTGGACACACAGTGACACTGTGCGTGTTTGCCGAGCCCGGGGGTTCTTACCACCGGGGCGGGGCGTGGCGACGAAGCCGCTTTGGTCAGCACGAGGCGTGTCCTCGCTGCGTGCTGCTGAGGAGGCTCGTCCCGAGAAGTCGCGTCAGTACCAAACAGCTAAACAGCTGTACCTGTGTTAGGGGGGCGAAAGAGGCACAGCCGGCAGAGCCACACGGTACTATCCAGGCTGGGAAGAGCACTGGAACCTGCGAAAGGCTCCCTACAAGGATTTGTGCAAGACTCTGAAGGACAGGGGGGCAAAGAGGAATTGCGAACACTTGGCAATTAGTTTTTGAGGCACTGACCTCTGAGGGCACTGACTTGAAGAATGAAGGTGCCTGATTGTAAGGAGTGTCCCCAAGAAAGCGATCTTCTAAAATCTTCTCAATGTGTCTTGGGCTCCTCAAGAAGTCTTAATCCAGGACACATCAAAGGGTTTGGGTGTTTTGGGTGGCCCTGGGGCCCTGATTCACTGATGGCTCTCCTCAGAAAACACACATGTGACCAGGCTTTGCGGCTCAAGAGAGCGATAGCACGAGAGCGGACGAGGTTTGTGTTTCCAACACTTGGCCATGTCTCCTGGGCTTGGCCTCGAAGCGTTGGCCAAACCTCGGAAGCCGGAGGATGTCTGGGAAAAAGATGATCCAACACCTCTGGACACGGACACCTGTTCGGAGAAAAAATTAGAGCAGCCGACGTACTGAGAGTCCGGGTGAACCCTCTAGAGGACACCCTTTGGCATGGAGGTGGTTTTGCACGATTTTCGGAGTGCTTTTCATTGGACGTCTACCGACATTGTGAATATTTTTTGGATTTTATGGATTCCAACTAAAACAGAGGGTGCACTAGCGCTCTGCTTGATTCAGACTATATAGAGTACTATATAGTTCTATGTTCTTTTCAAGCAGTAGTTGACCTGCATTCCAGATTGCCTGGGGAAATGAGCGTGTGTTTTTTGTTCATTTTTGTCCGCACCTGACAGGATTGTGACCTGCACTTGACAGTGGATAACCCACCCTGTTGTTGTGACCTGCTGCAGGGCACCCAGTGCCTGGCCAGTCTGACAAACACGAACAACAGATAAAAAAGGCAATGACACAGACAACACACAATGACAACACCAAACGCAATCACCGCACAGAACCAAAACATTGCCCTTTTGAGGTAAGGGTTGAATAGCTCGAAGCAAAGGATAGGTCAGGTGGTCTTTTGTTTCTTGTGTGTGTGTGCGGTGGGTGGCAAGAACCGAGGAAGTGCTGCCTCCTGGAGCCAGTCTCCAAAGCCCATTGAAGACATCTCATCCAGCTCTTCACCAAGAGACGGAGAAGCAAGAAGTTGCGCTGGAGGAACTCAAGACACCTCGAAGTTCATTCTACACCTTCTTCTCAGAGCTACCACCGGGTGTTCCGATCCCACCGAACTTTAGGACACATTCGCGTTATGTGCTGCGCTTCGGACAGGCCCTAGAACACTTGGACGAGCAGGAGGTTGAGAAGGTGGTTTTGCGGGCACGCGCTTGGTGGTAGAATGAGTTTTACGAAGGCAAGGATAATATTAATATGTTCAACCTCGATTTGCCTACCATTGGCGCATGGATGAGTCTTTTGGTCATCTTTGTCCAAGCAGCCCGCGACTTTGCTGGGCCAAACAACGCTCAACCTCCCGAGGAGGTTCTGAGTATGGCAGCCATTGTTTCGACAAAGGCCGTGGTGCCGATAGCTATTCGCTATCCTTGTGAATTTCCACGTCATGCCGCTGGATCCCAGGGCACCCCGGATCTGTTGTACAAGTCATGGGTTGTGGCTAGACTACAGCTACTGACCGAGGGCTGGTGGAGACAGAAGAAACGGTTGCCTGGGATCCATTCGGTGTAAGATGATGATAATCTGATCTTCTCCGTCCTCCATACTGTGGCCAGTTGCCCAACTTTGGCCGCAGGAGATGGGTGAAAGCGCCCAGTTGCTGCTCAGCTGCGAAAAGCAGCCAGCTGTGGAGTTTTTTTTTTTTTTTTAAACCTGAAATGCAATATCATATAATATCATAAATTTTACATAATAATCATATGTAATCAATTATTCTCCAACCACAGGACTCTAGGAAAGCTGCTGAGCAGAGATTGGACGGCCGAAAACTGTTTCAAAGCCGCCTGCAGCATCATGCAGCGGTCGTTTGGTTGAAGCTTTCAACCTCCGCACTGTTGGCAGTCTTCAGGAAAGAAGGACCCTTGCAGATCATTATGGTACTTCCAAGGGGATGGCGAAAGCCCACGGGCCATTTCAGAGAATTTCAGGTATCGACATGATCTAGGGCATTCATAAAGACACCGTCTACGCAAGATGAAACGCTCTTGTGGGTGTTCAGCTGTTCACCGATGTGGGTGTAGTGACCCCCAAGTGTAGATGGACACGGATGCTTTTGAATCCATGAGAGAATGTGTGTGTATATATCTATATCTATATCTTTATATATATATATCTGTGTGTGTGTACTGAACATATCTGAACATTTGCAGGCGACTAGACTTGCCCGAGACGTCGGCACAAAGAACATGTCTTGCGGCAAATGTAGCCCTTTGATTCTGCGGCTGCCACTGCGATTAGACCGAACAGGTCGGAGCCTTGCAGTTTGCCTTTTGGCAGAAGTTTGCATCGCCTCCTTTTTGGGTCGACACACGTCGATGCCATGTGGCGAACAGGCGGACAGTTTGAGTGGTGGACAACGGATGCGTTCGGCAGAGAGCCAGCGGCTGTGGCAGGACTCGACACTTCCTCCGTGTGCCACGGGGTAGAGTGTGTCAGGACTCTGAGAACAGACACTGATGATGCCAGATGATGCCTACTTGGCATCCAGGATAATTACATATAGTTACTAAGTGGGCCCTCAAAATGACATTACCGCTTTGGGCCAACAAGTGGGCAAACATTAGGTTGGCCACCAGCTAGTTGCTTGTTTCTTTCAATTCCAAGCAGGCCCAGCGTAGCTTGAACAATCTGGATAACTTTGTTTCACCAGTGCAGAAGTGGTTTTGTCCGTGATGTTTTTTGGGTGTCCGGGGTGTCATCCAGAATCCAGGGGGTATGGTTATTCTCTAGCCTGAGACCCCTATAGTGGAGACTTTTGTGACCATCCCTGTGTCTTAATCTGCCTGCAGCAGCTGCAGCCCGGCTAGTCCACCATGAGGTCGCCTTCATGTTTGCTACAGGAAATTCTTCTTTGCAAGAGGACGTTTGCAACACAACTGATATTAAAAAGGCATTCTGGATATTCCTGCATTTTCCTGCGACTGGTCAGGTCACTCGATTTGCTCAAGCAGATCAGAAGTGATGACCACTCATCTCATTGTCCTGCGTCGGGCTCAACATAAATTCCAATGTTGACGGCTCCAAAAGGTTGATTATTGTGAGATGTGTCTCAGTGTCTCTTGTGAAGAATCCCTCTTTAGTTTTTCGCTCGGCAGATCCTCGCCCAGGGGTGTCGGATGTTCATGTTGCGATATTGTGCTTTCCAATTTGTCGATTTATTTTCCAACTCTCATCCACCACTCCGCGCCCATATCGCCGAACAGTTCGGAGACACGCAACACATCGGCCGCGCGACAGCCTTAGTGGCGAATTACGTGGCAGTGCAAAGGCCCATGACCATCGCAGAGCAGCGACCGAAGAAGAGCAGAGATCTTGCTGCGGAACGTTCTTTCTCCCATGTCACTTTGCTGGGTCGGAAGAGAGACGAGGGTTTTAAATTGTTTAAAGCCAGCCAATGGGACGATAGTGATTCCAACTTTATCTACTAAAAACTCACGGTGCCATGGGACATGAAGGGGAAAACAATATTAGCTTTGTGTTTTTTGATGTTTTCCTTTTTTGCCATGCATGTGCTAGGAGTGTGGGGGAAATCATTTGGATTGATCATGAATGGGAAGGATTTTTCTGATGTTCTTGCAGGAGGGATGCAGTATGACATATTGATACACATTGCAGATAACAACAACAATACATATATTGAGTTCTTGACAATTATTTATACAAGACCTTTCATGACGTATACACCCAGGTGTGGACAGAAGACCTAGGGCAAAACATTGTCCTGTCGTTGATGGACCAATGCTGCCAGGTTTCGTTCACCCAGTTCTGTGCAGGAGCACCGGTTTATTAACAGCATGGGGGATGCTCACAAGAAGACGGTAGTGGCTGATGGCAAGCTCACCATAGGAAGCCTAGCAGGAAAACCTTCCCGTCCAAGCGCTGGATGAAAAAGGGAGGGGTATTATTGTTGTTTTTGTTTGGGATATTTTTTGTTTCTGCCTCTTGCCTCTTGCTGCCTTTGTTTCTTTTCCTGCTTTTCTGTGCTTGTCTTGCCTTTCTGTGCTTGTGTTGTTTTTCTTGTTTTTGCTTTGTTGTGAATCTTCTTTTTTTTCCTGCCTTTCTCCTGCTTGTCTTTAATGTCCTTCTTTTTCGTTTTTATTTTTGTAGCGTATTGATTTCCTTTCGTAGTAGGTTTCCTTCTATGGTCTTTGTTGCTGTTGCTTTTGATCAGGTGTCTTTATCAGTCCTAATTATGTTGTGCTTGCTTTTTTTTTTGCCTTTGTGTGCTTTTCCTACTCTTGGTGCTCTGCATCACTGGTGATGCTAAGATCGGGACGACGAGGTTCACTTAGTGCTGCGGTAGCCACGAAATCTTCACTAAGTAAGTCACTACTAAGATCACTTGTCACTAAGTCTCTAAGTGCCGTGCCTTTTTGCAACGTCTGGTTTTCTAGCTTACAAAACCCTTCGCCCAGCACGATTATACTCTGAAATTTGCAGAGTGCCGCGCCTGCCACAGAAGAAAGACATGAATAAAAACAACAACTTGATATAAGATACCTTTTTGGAATGTTTCACCAGCTGTTGCACTGCGAATGTGAAGCATGTACACATCAGACCGCCGCAAACCACTAATTAACGGTGGATGCTAAGGGCCACCAGGTTTTGGCCATTTGACAAGACTTGTTTGCTTAGATCAGCGAGGTCTACAAAATGCTGCCAAGGTACAATTTAGAGAAGGAAAGGGACCATTCCAACATAGTACATCGTCTTTTGTGAGGCAGCCGAGGTTGGTTAAAATTTGGAGGTTAAACCGTAGGATATCTATTGTAAGCCACCCGAGGGCATACAGTGCTGCGCGTGTCCACAACAATCAGTTTTTAAAAATAGTGACACATCACCATCACAACCCACAACGGTTGATGCTAAGGGCTTTTGCCATCTGACATAAGACCTATAGATTGTTAAGATTAAGATCAGCGCTCCGTGCTTCCCAAAGTGCACTCCGAGGTTCACAAATGCTGGTCTGCATTTCCGGCCATACCAGCACCAAAAACAAAAAACAACAACAAACAAGACGCGCATACATCCAAGATTAATTCCATTCCTGGACCATTCAAAATGTCAAGTCTTTCTGTTGGAATCATGGCTCCTTTTGGTAGCCCTATCCACTAGGCCTCCCGAACATAGCCTTCCAGGGGTGAATTCCATCCAAATGGAGTTTGCAGCATTATACGCTCCCCAAAACTAAAAATAATATATAATAACTCCACGCAACTTTATACTGCTCACTAGATCTTGGTAGAAAATGCCACCATTGCTATCCATTAGGGTTCTGCTTTTTAGATAGAGAATGGGGTTGGAACAACCTTTCCTTTGACAATTGACGGCCATGGGCCATGGGTATATATTTTAGATCTGAATGTTGTTCATCTCCAGCTCGGTGATAGTATCCCAAGATATCACCTTGGGTTCCTTGATATCTCAGATTATGACTTGACCATCTCACTTCGCTTCAAGACATCTTCAACTCAGTGTGTCACCTCGCAGGCGTTCAGAGCGTGGCGCCGTCCGGATGTCCCAAGCGAGTCGGGCTCCGGGCAGAAGCTGGGACCGTCGGACCAAGCGAAGAAGACCAAGGAGTTGGTGGCAGAATGAACGGAATGAAGAGGATGAACATCACAGATCAATGATGGATGTCAATCGGTTTGTTTGTTTTTTTTTGTGCTGGTTCTGCTTTTTCCTTGGTAGGGGTTCAGAATGGGTGTGGCACCGGAAGTGGGGCAAGTTTCTGGGGCTCAGTTAGCTCAATGGTTGCTCTACTCGTTCTGGTGGCTGGAAGGACGCCGATGAGCAAACAGCCACCCTCAACCAAAGCTCCTCTTGTTCTCCAAGACCACGGAGGTCAAGGAACTACCTTAAGGACCTAAGTCATTGCCAGATATAAGATATGAAACTCGAGCTGAACGGAGTTGGTTACAGTAAGTTTCTTGATATTTGGCAAAGTTCAGTCTTCGGATAATCATCGGGACACCGTGTAGTTTGCCTTTGCTCCTCCTGTCAGTCCTTTGAGTGCTCTTGGGCTCGTCACGGCTCGTCACCCGTCAAGGTGGCGACTTTGGAGCAAAGACCTTGGTGGAGTGCCTGGTGGAGCATGCCAGGAGTTGGGTGAGCCAAAATGACCTGCCACAAACAGCACCGAACCACAGGAATCCAATTGGCCACGGGGTGATGAATTTGCCATTGTTCGATTGATGTCCAATGTTTGACCTGTTGCGGTTCAGGTCCACCGTCGCCCACGGTTTTGCCACAATCTCATCTCCTTTTGACCTTCTTACTTCTTACCAACCTTGGCTGACTGTGACTGGGGCATGTTTATTACTTAGCTTAGCGGATTTTTTGGATCCCTTGTTGTTTGGAGCCCCAGTGTTGCTCGAGGCATTGTCGCCGCCTTTTGATCTTGATCGGAGATGATGGCTGACCACAGGTCTATGGGGGAGATTCACGCCAAAGTGAAAAGGTTTGATATTCTGACATTTGGCGCTTCCGGAAATCAGTCTTGGGAGCTTGTTCAGTGTGGCGAGGTTCGCTGGACAATGTTCCTGCAGCCATGGGGCCATAGGCCTGTCCAACTGAACGCCTTCAAACAGCTGTAGTCCCTAAACCAGCTGTAGCCCTCAAGCCAGATTGATCCAGATCCAGATTGTATTGAAGGGTTTATCAATCCTCATTTCTACGTGTAAACACGGTGCAGGGACATGTTTCAAACTGCGGGAGCCCCGATGCATCCCAGCGGCTGAACCGGACTCCGACTCGCGGCCATTTCAGTGCCCAGCGCCCCAGCGGCCACGAACTGGCCAGTGGCCGGCGCGGCGCTCTTCGCCCATCTTGGGGCAGAAGACATTTCCAACCCTGCGCGGGCCATGGTGAAGGGCCACTGTAACTCACTGAACTATTCAAAACATCAGCTGAGAGATGAAGATATTCCTAGCCTTCGACTTTCACAGGCGGGAGGGAGTTGTGTTTGGGAGGAGTGGAGGTGGAGCTGGTGAAAAAGAGAAGTGGAAGGTTGCTTGGATTCTCTTGGCGGTAACCTTTTTTTTTGTTTTTCGATGGCCCGGATTGACATGGTCTTTTTGGGGGGTCCTCTATGGCAAGGAGGATGGTGCAAATTGATCTGTAGCACTGCACGTGTACCAATAACCAACAAACGACAAAATCCAACGAGACAAGGAACGATGCACTTCTTGCTAGCTGGTAGGAGTACTTTGTCCCAGGTGTTCTGAGGCTCCACAACCTGGGTTCTGAATCCAGACAAACGGTACCGGAGGCTGGCCAGGCTGGAGGCTGCCCCCTGAAAACTGTGAAAGCAACACTTCAAGCAACCGGGTGGTATGTGCCGTGACTTCACCCATGTGTCAATTCAGAACTCCAGTAGACATAAAAGTGCTTGGGTGGACTCAATCTTGTAACCCGCTAAGCTTTGGTTTTATCAACCATTTACAAAAATGCCACATGTTATCACATGTTCAACATGTTTAAAGTTAAGTTGCTTCCTTGATAGGGTCAGTCAAGATCCCAGAGCCTGATCACCCGATCTAAGACGGTTCCCACATGTTCCCACCATTTCATCCAAAACAGTCCAGCATGTCAACGGACGACCTGAGCTAGTTCTGAGGCCCTCACACTGCTGTTAGGCGATTGGGGGCTCTCCTCTTGAACACTGAGCCCTCACATTTGAACCCTGTAGAATCCCAACAGGTGTCGTTCGCCGGGGCCAGAAGTACCTGTTGGGCCAAGAAGGATTGCAAAATCATCTTGAAGGATTGGTCTAGATCCTCACACCCTACCTACCTTGTCCACGACCTTCATCGCTTCGTCGCTTCATGGGTTGCTTTGGGTGTCAGCAATGAGCCGGCATGAGTCGGCAAGCCGGCAAGAAGAGAAGCGAGCGCGGCGCGTGAAACGACTACCTGCGCAGTGTCACGATGGCACGCACCATTTCCCCTTTCTCCTGGCATCAGTTCTAGAGGCTCATAGCATTGTCCACCGTACAAAGGGTTGCCTCCACCGTAGGCGGAGGGGAAAGGGGCTCACTCATCGGGAAAACCACTCCACCAGTCACTCCACCATTGGTCCTTCACTTGGACCAATAATACCTATAACCTTGTTGATGGATGTGACTGGGTGGTGGAAGCGAGACGGTTTTGTTCGTGCAGTCATGTGCAGTCTAACCTCTGCTGGTCAAACCTCTCACGCCACCATCAACACCTCACCTCATTTCATCAGGTTCGTTCGAAGTAAGTCGGAATAGATCTTATTCTGGGTTTCATTGTAACATATTGTAACTCGATTGTAACTCGTGTTGCACCTCATTGCGGCAAGCAGTTTCTTTTCTCACCGTATCTCACCATACTCCTGATGTACTAGCACCAGCAGCGCAAAAAACCTTCCAACAATGTTATGTGTAATGGCTCCCGATACGGGGGTGTGGCAGTTCCGGGGTATATTGGCAGTTCCAGGGTATTGAGTGTGTATGTGTGGACTGACCAAAGACCTTCCAGTTGGTGCAGCAATTCCGAGCGATTGATTCTTTTCGTTAGAATGTGCAGTCGATGCACATCGGAGGTGCATTGAAAACCTCACCTAGATGGTTAGGCACAATCATGAAACATTCACAACCAACATACGCCACATCAGCTGCCTCGCAGAGAGCTCCACATACAACTCTCCCTGAAGCGCTCACGCACCCAGCCGAATTTCTTGTATACTGTAGAGGTGATTCTTGGCTGTATTTCAGGATCCCGCGTCCAAAGGATGAAACATTGAGGTATTTGTACAGTTATAGTTCTTGACAGATATTTTCATTCTGAACACCTTCAGAATCTGTATATTGTCATGCCATTGTCACACCGCACTCGGGCCACCTATAATGTGGGAACACGGAGGTAGCCAGACAACGTGGACAACGTGTTGAATGGAAAGGCTCCCACCAGTCCCAACCAAAGAAAGCAATCGAACGGGCAGCGGCATACTATGCACATTGCAGCGGCAAGATTCTGTTCAGATGGGGGTTGCTTGGTTGAGGTATGAAGCCTAGCTCACACGAACTACTTAGCCGCAAGAAGATGTTCTGGCAGATTATTCTGCATGTTTGTCAAGTGAAGGGGGGCATTGCAGAATGAGCCGGTCATATCCGGTCAGTTTTTTTACTTTTTTTTTTTTTTTTTCTGTGCTGGTGAGAAAGCCCCCTATAGATCCCTGTAGGGAGTTTGAGGTGCCTGTAGCATGTGAATTGATCGTTGTCATCAGCAAGCGCAGAGGGAACATGACAAGAACCCTTCCTTCCTTCCTTCCTTGCACAGAACCAGAAAGCTGCTGAGTTTCATACATAATACTACACATTGCCGGCGCAATCAGTGTCCACAAACTTGCTGTACACCGGTTGCAGCGACGACACCGGTTACACCGATGAGCGCAACCAGTGTCACCAGCGCGTAACTAGCATAGCCAGCGCAGCCGTAACCAGCGCGATCACAGCCGCCATGGTTGGTGCCAGAGTACCTGCGGCGCACCAGCGAACGTTTGTTTTGTTCTTCCCACTGATCTTGGGAGTTCTTTGGATTCCTCCCACCGGTCCAGGCCCCCCGGAACAGCTTTTTCGTCGTTTCGCCAGGAACAGCGGAGCTATGTGGAGGCACGGGGGTCGTTCCGCGGTGTCGTTCGGGGCGTGTGCTGGCCGGTGCAACCCGGGTGATGTGCCCGCCGGAAGCTATGGGTGACGTGTGGAGTTGGACAGTTCCAATTTCACCGGAGTGTTTCAGGTTTACTTTAGCACATGGGGTGCAACGTGGAAGTTGCCGATTGAAATCTGTTCCATTGAGGGTACATGGAAGTTGCCACAGGGAATTTTCAGGATGGTTCTTCCATGGACGGGGCCCAGATGCCAATCAAAACCCTTGGATTGTCCCTGGCTTGGCGGTCCTTTTGCTTTAGGCAGTCTTTGTCCGACTGGATTTGGCCTGCTGGTTTGAACTCTTGACCGGCCTTCCAACAAAATGTGAACCTCAGAAAGCCAAGCACTAACTGAATTGTTAGGCAAAAGACATGGTAGTTGAAGGTAGAAAGACACCGGTATATACTTAAGGTATCTTGAGGATCACATCGTATCCTTCACTTTTTTGCGGGGGCATGGCCGGTGCATCAAATCTCATCCATTCTGCCCATCCACATGGGCCGCTCGTCCACCCGCCATCGCCGGTCTCTGTCCGTCCGCGCCAGATCGACTTCTCGAGTAACCAGTTGACCTCCAGAGGGTTGGAGCCCATCGTGCCCTCGAACGAACGTGTTGGACGTCGGTCGAGACGTCGGGGAGAGGACGTCTCATGCGGTCTTTCGGGGGTCGAGAACCGGTGGAGCCCTCGGAAGTGGAATTGTCCAAGGCCTCATGACGCCTTTACAATGATGCATATTCATTGGAGTCGGTGGAAGATGATCGGCTCCAGGGACAGCTGTTGTTTCGACTTATTGTCTTGTAATGCCACACTGTTCAAGGTTCCCGCTCATTTTGCTTGTGATCGCCAACTCCCCATGCAGGACGTATTTTTACGAGCATGGGCACAGTACCCTGAGCAAACATGTGGCTTTCACTGGAAAGAATCATTTTGCAAATCCTTGCAGGATCTTGCGGCGACGAACTAGTGATAATTACTGGTGTTTGACCCCTTGGCGAACAATCTATCAGGCCAATTCTCGGTGGATTATGCCGTTACACTGATGTGCACTGCAAAGAACCATTGCCTGCAGCACCGACAGGGGTTCTAGACGAGAGTGTCGCCCAGGGGCGAAAAACCAACCGACCCAACCCATTTGCAAATCAAATCTAGTGTGCGAATGCTAGGGGTGACTGATGAAGAGCAGCTGAATCAACAAAAACAAGGAATTGCTGTCCACCTATTCGACCTATGATCAATAAACTATAGGGAGACCCCCCTTTGAAATGCACATGCATCGAAGTACGCGGCCCAGAATTTTGGCCACCACCACCACCCTGTGTGCGGAAGTCTTTCCGAAATCGAAGGTGAAGTTCTGCTGTCAATGCCCCGAGTTGCGGGTCTTCAAGGCGGCCACAGAAAGGAGACGAAAGACTCTGTCATCGCCCGGACTTCTGGGAAGCACTGGCTTTCAGGTGGTGATTTCATTTATGCTCCCTTTTCCCGGAATCCTAGACCCTTCGAGGAAGGTTTTGAGATTTTGGAACGTTTTCTTTTTCCGCCTTTCTTTAGCAGAAAGTGCGTGTCAGTAGTGATGATGCGGTAATATATGGGGTGGAATCGGGCTTCCACTTTTGCAAACTACAGAACCTGGCAAGGCAAGACTATATATGGCAGCGCCGTGCACTGGCAACATGCTCACTGGCAGGGGCAGGGGGTCTACATTTTCAGTGCATGGAGATGTTAGCACTCACAAAACGGCCCAAACTGCAGTGGGTTCATGTCCCAATGGATCCAGCCTTTCTTTCCAGCTCTTCCGGAGGCCTACAAGAATGAGATTGATGATGATGGGGCCTGGCACATTGCCAAGCTGCTAGAAAAATGCGGGCCTTTGGGCACGAAGAAGCCGAGACGTGGGTCGGCAGGGTGGGTGTTGAAGGGTTTTCATGTACCCTTTGAAAGTGTCTTGTTTGGCACAAGTTGTCCTTTGTTTGGTGTCTTGTTTAAGGCTTAAGGGTTCGATTTGGACATAGCAAGCGTTTAACTTGTCAACCAGGCAGCGTGAAGCATTTTTACTGGGTTGTGTAGTTGATCCGTTCCTCGTCGGTCTTTCACTGATCGGTGTCCAGGTTTCATGGGGATGAGGATAGAGAAGCTGTTGGTTTCAAGCCTGTACACCCCAGCAACCAGAAAAGGAGTTGGAGGCAAAGCCGGAGTGGAAGGCCAGTAGCGATAGAGACCAGCCCAAGAAACACTGACCGGAACAAACCAAGCTAAAGCAACAAGTCATGATCTGTTATATGCCGAGGGAATTCTATGATATGATAAGTGCTCCAGCCCTGGCTAAAGACAGGTTGGACTCCAGTACAGCTCTAGCAAATTGACATGTGCATCTCAGACAACTCAACTCATTCACCAGGCCGTCTTTTGATGCAGATCCTTTTCTTGGCCTTCCAGAGGGAATGAGATGAACAGGCAAATTCCTTTTCTAGTCCCTTTGCACCCCTTTGCTTTTTGTCCTATATATGTTTTTGCCTCTTTCAGGTGTTCTATCGTTAAGTCTACTTGAGAAGTAGAAGACGACATTTGTTGCAAGATTCCATTGGTGGAAGTCACTGCAAGATGTCCACCTATTGTTCACCTACCCGCACACGTCTATAGATCATGTAGTATTACATATATATATATATATATATTGATTATATATTGTATAGTAGTGCCACGGCCACATCTATAATTATACTGTATAATTATATAGATATTGTTTTTTGTCGACACATGTGGTATGATCCCCTCCACCCACCCCGTTGACGGGCGAACGAACAACCAGGTCCATTGAGGAGATCCACCTCTCCCACAATTACCTCACGGCGCGTTGGGTCGGGACGACCGGGAGCGTTGGTAGGAATCATGTCCTGGGAGGGAAGCAGAGGACGTTGGTTTGCCATGGGAAGCAAGTCGGACTAGGCCAAAGCACGTTGGAAAACATTGAGCCCATGGCAGACAGATGAACAGACAGACAGAGACATGCACTAACTACATTGCACTATCAAGTCTTGAAACTGCCCGAAAGCTTTCTTTTTCTGGACCATCCTGTAGTACTCAACCTCTGAGTCCACTGCGTTCTTATGTGAGTTGATTAATATTCTTGGCTGGTGTTGTGAGAGTTTTGTTTGATTTTGTTGCCCTTGTCATTTTGAGGCTGGAGGCACGTCACACAGAGTGTTCGACACAAGCTGACATGCTCTAAATTGTGTTTGACAAGTGCGAGGTGGTTGGGTGCAATGATTTGCATTGTCAATGTCTCGCAGGGGCTGTCCCTCCCCTTGACATGGACAGATATTGAGATATACGGTATGTATGAGGTAAGGTATGGTCAACTTCGTCACCATATGGCCCACGTTTCGATCCATCGATCCAGATCGATGCACTGACCAGTGAAGATAGATGAGTCGAAATCCGGAAATGGACTCCTCCAAAAGCAATCCTTAGGGAGACCCCCAACCAATGGATATTTTATGATTTTTTGCTCTATGCTCCTTTTTCCAGGGCATCTAATAGGGAGGTCTCCCTATTCGAATGCACACGTGACACACTGGTGACTTTTGGTGATTCCCACGTGTCCCAAGACAGTTTCACCATGGGTTGCACCCCAAAACCTGTCGTGTCAATATCGGTCAGGCGAAAGGTGCTCGGATGATTGTGCGCGCTGCGGACTGGAACAGAGACAAGACGACGTCTCCCCTGTGGCTACGCCTGGAACAGAGCCTCGGCCTTTGAATGAAGGAGTGAGGGCCATGTTGCTGATTGGTCTTTTGTTCAGGTTGCTTGGCCCGCTTGGCCCAACTAAGGTGTTCTCCTAACAAGCTCCAACACCATGGTGATTGGCATCATGTTCCAACCCGACGTGACACCGTGACACGGTCACTTCACGCTCGGCTTTCGCCACTGAGGAACTGGGTGGGATCTCCCAACGAGGTCCTTCGGCTCATGGTGCAGGAGACCCTTGGTGGAAACCTGCCGATCCGCCGTCGAGGGGTTGGAAGGTCGGGGAGAACGGGAGAAGGGTTGTTTCGGGTTGGGTCTGTCGACGTGCGGGGCAAGCCGCGGCTTTGGTTGATGATGTTTTGTCCATCTCATGTGTGGCATGAGGGAAATAGCGGCAGGCCTCCCCAAACAGTGGCCCCACAGTTGATCACAGACGCCATTGTTCCTCAACTGGATAACTGGGATGAGAGGCGTTCCAGTCATGTTGATTGCATCCAATGGCAGCTTCGACATCGATGTCAACCTGGACAGGTCCTCCAGCACCACGGAAAGGATGGTTCATGATGGTTCTAGTTCTTAGTGGAGGTAAAATGCATAGGCATGGGATGTCAGGGGTGTCTATCAACATCTATAATACACCCTAGGGCTCCAAGTACCTCCTCAGAAGGTATTTGGAGATATTTGGACCCTCTAAACCCACCCCAGTCCCACCTTCTTAGAAGGTACTTGGAGCCCTAGGGACATTGTTATTCTGTCAGACTGGACCAGTCTTTCCACCTGATGACCGGACTGGTGTCATCCGGTGGACTCCCGGTGCGACGAAGGTACAGCGTTTGTGGCCGCAGCGACGAGTGGCGCTGCAACGTCCGACATTGCTATTGGAAGAGGCCGCTTGGGCAACGAAGCGAGGTGTCGATAGCATGCACATGTTCATCACCTTCGTAGGGTTTAGGATCCTGAAATGAAGTCCGGATTGAAGCACTCCCTCTAACTTGTGCCAATGGCTTTGGACTTTGCCGCAATGTTCAGCGGTTTGGATGATGTATATATAATATATAATACTATATAATATATATATATATTACATTATTGTTTATTCACTCAACCTCCGTCAGATACTCTTAGCTTTCTTCTTTGACATCATTGATTTAAAGATGCACAGCCTGTGGCATTCTATGGATGTCCAAGAATGCTTTTGGGCGCATCTCTTCGCTTCCCGGAGGATTTACCATTCACTTTCGTTGCAGGTCATCCCACTTCCTATCATGTGGATAACCGGATGACCGTTTGTCGTTTTTGTTGGATTGGTTGCCCCACTAAACAAGAACAGGTGTATTATAAAGGTTCATCTTTTTCCCGCAGTCAGACCTTCTGATTCTGCGTTGAGCTGAGGAATATCCACGTGCCCTTTCTGCACCTGCAGCGTCAGGAGATCTCGTGACCGAAACCGCCCGACCAACTCTACCGATCTCTCCTCATGTGCTGGGAAATGTGTTGTATAAGACTCTCCTCATGTTTGTAGGGCACAAAAAGCGGATGCCCTCCCCCCATCCAAAAGGTCTTCCCGTGCGAAGGCGGTCAAACTGGTCAACTTGTATCAACTTGTGCCGTGCGTTTTTTGCAGGATGCTTTATGGGATCCTTGAATGCAAGAAGAGACGGTGTCGGGGCGATGCGGTGATGCTGGTGCAGCTGATATATATATATATAACCTGCCAACGGAACCCTAACTTTTTCCTCGGGTGCGGTATGCGGACCAATCCTAGCAACAGCAACCAGAACCAGCTCCACCTCGCCAACCAGGTCCCAAGTTCCCAAGTCATGATAGTCCAGCGATCTCAACTGCAGGATCTTGACCGGAATGCATGACCTGCTGTGTAGCTCGGTCCAACCGAGGAAGCGGAAACCACCACCGCCACCACCTACAAGGCACGCTCCTCACCCGACCGCAGTGGGGTTGAGCCAACCGTTGGTGGTTTGGGTGGTTGTTGTTTTATTTGCGCGAAGAGTTGAGGTGTTCCTTATCCACAGAATGCCGGTGGCGACTCCCAAAGGGAATTGGGTCTTAAAGTTGTCTCGATCCTTGTATTCATTCTAAATGCTTTAAAAGGTTCTTGCTTATCACCAGCGAATTACGGCCCAGCAAAATGATGTTTTTAGGTCGGTCGGGGTTTTGGGGGGCCCTCCGTGAGTTTTTCGGCCGGCCTTGAGGACCACATCCACCTAGGCCCGGTCACACACAAACTGGGGATCAAACGGGGCATTGCCAGTGTTGTGGCATCACGCGTCGCCAGTCGTCCCATTGGCTCAGACTGCATTCCGCCTGCATTCCATGGATCGAGATGTCGCTTCGGCGAGCTATTTCGCCCACCTGAAAGGAGATCTAGCATGAACCTTTGCAAAGTTCTGTGAGCTCCCTGAATCGACGTTTCTTTTGCTTGTAGCATGATAGTCTTCAACCTCCCACGCCACCAAACCATCCTCCAGAGCTTGTTCAGAATAAGGGGTTATCACGAGTTCAATGGTATAAGGAGGGTGTAAATAACGCACCAGTAGGTTACGCAACTAGCCCAAGGGAACTTTGCTGGACCATGCCAGGAAATAGAGTGGGGAACAAAGTACATCAAAGTATGCAATAGAAGAAGAGGACACTTGGATACACTTGGTCCGGGAGTGGTATTAGACTCAATACACCGCCTCCAGCAATTGCCAACTATGTTGAGTGTAGTTTCCTCGCTGTGTGGAGCACCCCCCCCTAAATAGGATGCCCTGTGAGTTCGGCGCATCCTGTCAGTTCGGCCCCAAACGCTGCACAGCAATGAAAAGGACATTGCGGGATATATACCCCTGCAAAATTATGTACCTGCACCTCCTGAAACGTTGCCAGAACTGCATTCGAGGTACTCGCATGCTTGGTAGACACATGTAGACACGATGTTTCGGAACTAGTGGTTGAAACTGAATTCATCTCACGTCTGCTTGAATCCCCTCATGAAAAAGGACTCAGCAGCCGAAACAAATCCCACTCTTTCGGCGCTTTCGGATCCTGCCATTCTGGACGGCGCGGATTGCAGCTGCAGCGGTGTGGGCACGTGGATGGCGCGCGATGAGGAGTCGCACCGACGAGGAGCGTTTTAGTGACGTGGCCGGGAGGGTCCGGCGCTCCAGGTTCGGAGCGTTGGATGAAGTGGATTATGGCCCCAAAAGGCAGTTGATCCAGGAGCAAGTTTGGATGCTTTGGGGATTTTCTTGGAGTCTGACTCCATTTGATTGCTTTTGTTTTTTCACACTTTTCACCAACTGGTTGTGTTGAAAAGGATGTCGATGTAGATCGAAAGACTGTAGCAAGAGAGGACTCCGTGAATGTTCGTCAATGTTTTGGTTCGGCAATGAGTTTGCAATGTATCATGCTTTCTACATTTTTCTATGTTTGAGGCCAGACCCGAAAGATGCTGGTATTGTGCAGTATGATTTCTAGTGGGCAACCATCTCGAATTTGTATGCAAACCAGGTACTGTACCACTGTACTCTGTCTTGTGTGTGTGTGTGTGTGCAAGAGTGTGTGTGTGTGTGTGTATGAGGCGGTGTGGCTGCAGGGTCGCGACCCGCAAGCAACAACTCGTTCAACTGCCAGAGTCATAGCCGGATAGCCAGTGGGTAACAACTTGATACAAATTGCACTTATATTGTTTTAAGGCTCGTTACACCTCAGAGGTGTTGTCAGTGCTCCCGAAAGCCAACGGATTGAAATAAAAGAGCTTTGAAGTGGCTAGAGCAGGCCCCAGAGGTTTCTCACGGAACTTCGAACCGCTTCATGGGTCAGCTGGGCTGAGGATTGACAGACGGTGGAATGTAGGAGGTCAGAATGTGGCCATGTGCAGGCCAATTTGCAAATCAAGAGGTTTAAGATGCGTGGCAACCCTTTCCTTCTAGGATTGCTGCGCAACAGACCAAAATCTAGCCTCAACTTCATAGCACGGTAAGGTTATACGGAGGTAGATTGTATTGCCTCAAATGACAGACCAATGAGTTGTTGAAGTATGTCGAAGTTGGTGGTATATAAGAGAGTTCTAAATGTTAAACTAACTAACTCCCACAACAAACAGGACTACGACCAGGATGAAACCCAAAGGGCTTTCGATTTTTGTCATGCCTGGAGCAGTTACAGTACGCGGAGACCGTTCGGAGGATGAGCCTTTTTGGGTGCCAAAAGTAAGGTCTCCCTTTTGGGGTCCCTGTTTGCAATCATATCAGTGCGTAGTTGTTTCATGTTGTTTCTTTTTTCTGTGAGTGCTCCGTGAATTGGCCCACTTCTGAAAAACCACCCGAATCAACTCGCTGGGGTCGTCGTTTGGACTCTCACGTAGTCACGAGTCCAAGGGCTCCCCACAAAGATGGAAAAGGAACTCGAAAAGGGCATAGTTGGACGTTTTCTGCGCAGCCTGGAAAACATGCAAAGAAGAAGAAGAAGCAGCCCACACATCTCCTAGATCTGCCAGTCCCTGCGGAAAACCGGGCTCACCAGGCCGAAGATCGGAAGACTTCCACGGAAAGAAGGCCCAGTTCGGCCGCCTCGGTGCCAAGTTCTGCGCGAGGTTTAGATGCGCAGACATGGAGGGGGTGACAGAATCCCCCCAGAAATATTGGAAAGATCGTCCATGATCATCCTGTAGCTGTTGGATTTAGTCACGTGTGTGTTGAAGGATTAGCTTCAAGATGCTTCAAGTTTTGACCTCCAACTTGTGGCACATGCCGTGATGCACCACCAAGCAATCTCTTTTTGAGAAGCATCACCCGTTCCGCAAAAAGCTCCGGTCACAGGGATGTGATCCCGTTCCGTCCCGTTTTTTGGAGTCCTGAAGATTGAAGGATCAGGCATTTCCAAAATTCATGTTGCAAGCCCGGTTCACTTGCTCACTCTAGCACACCAGTATTAGTATTATATATATAGTATTTAATATATTGACTGACGTGGATTGTGATGCAGTTGGCTGCGTTTTTGCTTGGTAGGGACAGCTTGGATCGACTCGCCTGCCTTTTCGTGCTCAATCAGGTCGATGGCTCTCGCAGCCGTGAGCGCCGCCGCTCCAGCGAGCGCCGCTCCCGCAGCCGCACGCGGCGGAGCCGCACGCGCCGCGAGCGCCGCGAGCGGAGTCGGAGCCGCGAAGGGCGGGGCGAGCGCAGCAGAAGCCGGGAGGGCAGACGCCCCAGAGCCTGGGAGGCATTGGGAGGGAGAGGACAGCCCACCTGAAACCGAATCAACCAGGCGCTTTTTGGCTTTTCGTTTGAGATCTAAAGCACTTGAGGATCCCTTGTGATTTGTGAAGGCCACTTAGGCGGCCACTTGCATAATATGCGCGTTCATTGGCTCCAACCAAATGCTTTGAATTGCAGTGGTAAGTTAATTGAAAGGAGAGGGTGTTCCCAACCAACATCTCACGTGTTGCTTGTTTGGGTCCAAATAGCAACCCGCAAAATGATAAAAGACAATTGCCGCAAAATGGGTTCAATCTGAAAAGTGGCAAGCCACACCCCAACCAAGTGAGACTGTTTGGCAACCATGACTCATTCTTGGATTTGTGATGATCCTGTGCCAACTCAGAGATTATAAAGTTTTGCTGTGTGTGTGTGTGCAGGCACTTCTCCAAAAGGGTTGTATTTGGCAGAGTTCCATGCGCGTCTTCTTGCTTGCATGTGGTCCTTTGGTGCTTGCGCGTTCCTTTTTGGGGGTAGCCCCTATCGCCCTATCGCCTTCAGGCCAAGTCGCCGCTTCGCTTCGCGGTGGACGACCGGCGCCCTTCCGCCGTGCCGTGCTCAGGAGATCGCTTGAGGAGCGCCACAGGGACGCCCGGAGCGCCCGGAGCGCGCGATGCCAAGTCCCAGGAGCGACGGCAGCCAGAGACGTCAGTTTGAGGTGGAACACCCTCAGCCCGTAAGTCCCAGGACCTTCAAAGTGAACTCTTTGGAGTCTGTAAGTGACCTCTTTATAGACTAAGTGACCTCTATAGTTATTTTGTATTTTATTGGGGCGTTCTTTTTTCCTTAGGCAAGAAGGCGATTGAGAAGGCCTGAACCAAGTATGACAGTACGTACTGAAAGCCGCTGACGGTCACGGACTCAGAAGTGAAGAGATGGGTCCAGTTGGAAGAGTGTAGGAAGACCTGGAAGATCTCACTATGTGGTCTGAGGGGTGTTTTTGAACGGTCTTTTACACCGTGCACCCCTGCCAAATAACCACTGGTCCCCAGACAAATTTGGGAACAAGTCGTGACAGTCGTGCCATGTCGTGCCTGGGAACAAGTGCCAACCATGTTCCACATCCACTTTCGAATCATCCAGAGACTTGCCGAGTCGGATGGGCCGGTTCCTGGCCCTGCCTGAGCACCAAGGAGCATCCAGACCCCGAGATTCATTGGTGATAGGCGATAGGCCCGATAGGCACTTGCGTGTGGTTTCGTTCCCGAACATGGGGCGCGTTATGGTGCGTTGCTTTGGGGTGTCGGCCTCGCCAGCCGGAAGCCAGCGTTTGTTGTGGCTGCCATGATCACAGTGAGATGTGTGGGGCGTCCCTGGAGGATGACCCGAAGCTCGATGAGGCCAAGCCCAGCAGCTGAACCGAATGGTGCCAGGGAGGGCTGACCGCCCGCAGTGCTGAATGGGTCATGCGTAGCAAAAGCCTACGGTTGAACACCTTTTGAATTTGATGCCTTCGGGTAATTAATTTTCACACCAAAGACCAAAAAGCTCAACCACTTACTGCAATCTATTTTCCAGGAATCTGAGGGAGTCAGAACAGGAGACAGGTCATCGAACTGAGACCGTTGGAAGACTGGGTCAGATTTCGTTGATGGACAGTTCCCTGTGCACCTGAGATAAGCGTGAGGCACCCTTCAGGAATTGGGTGTGATGACCTTTTTCTTCTGAGAACATGCTTTGACAGATGTGATAATATAAATACAATATTAGATAGACAATGTAAATCAATATAATAGCATACCACATACTACAATACCATATAATTAAAATATGCAACCCTTACAAGGAAAGGGCATTGTTCTATCTTGATTAATTAGTGCCTCCCTCGCTGGAGATGCTTGAACATCCTCATAGTGTACCCCGCTGGAACTGGAACTGGAACTCGAATTGGAACTGGACCCCCCCCCC